CCAATGGGAAGCGACGGTGTCATGGAGGAGATTGTGTGGCGAGGGGGAGGAGGAGGAAGGGGTGAGAGATTATTGGAAATCGTTACGCTATCCAGCTGAAGAGGATAGCAGCAAATAGAACAAAGTTGAGATGTGTTATTGAAGCCCTGCTATGTTCCTCTCGCAACTCAAGGGAACAATTATTATTATTATTGTTCCCTTGGGTTCCTAGTGGAACATAGGGCTTCAACTGCACGTCTCCACTTGCTTCTGTCTTCTGCTGTACTTTTCACCTGCATCCATGTTAGTCCATACTGTTTCAACTCCTCTTCACACGATCTCTCCATGTCACCCTTGGACGTCCCACTCGCCGCTTCCCTTTCGGGTTCCACTCGAGCAATGGGCTGACGCGTGATGTCACCCAGCGGCCTCCTCAGCGAGTGTCCAATCCATCTCCACTTTCTCCTGCATATTTGTTGGGCGATTGGTTCTTGTTTTGTTTCTTTGTTCCCATAGTTTCTTGTTGGTGATTCTTTCCGGCCATCTGATCTTCAGTATAGAGCCAGCGAAGACAGTTGTTGTTGATAAAGGTCTGCAACAGGCTGTTGGAAATATTCTTTGTGACCCGCCAAGTTTCTGATCCGTACGTATAGAAGAACTGACTGACTTGACGTTTGTATTGAAAATCCGAATTTTGTTGTTGATGCTGAGTGACAGCGGAAGATTTCCAGATTGGTTTCAGGTTGATGAATGTGTTTCTCGCCTTCCCGATTCTCGATTTGACATCCTCGTCTGTTCCTCCTGTAGTTGAGACAATGCTGCCTAGATAAGTGAATGAAGTAACCTCTTTCAAATCCCTCCCGTTGATGGTGATTGGCGCTGGATGTTGCTGCTGTTGTTGTTGTTGGTTGGTTATTTTCATAACCTCCGTCTTGTTTATGTTTATCTGGAGTCCTGTCTTTGCTGATTCTTCTTGACCAGTTTGTCGGTTTTCGCTTGTAAGTCTTCGATTTTGTGTGACATCGAACATAAATCATCCACGCGCGAAATCCATGTCTTCTAGGTTCTTCAAGTCGGTCCAGGATATCCCTGTCTTCTCGTTTTCAACCACTGTCTGACGCATAATCCAGTCCACCACAATTAGGAATATCATTGGTGATAATAAGCAAGGGAACAATAATAATAATAATGATAAAACGAGACTTGTTAATCCAATTTTCCTTTTTCCGTTTGTTTTGATCATTTGATATAAGATTGTTTTTATTTTTTTAATGTTCAAAAGTTGATTTCTGATGTGTGAACAATCCTGTGTACAGACAATTCCACTTAAGCACGATAATGCCTACATGCCTTTTCTGTGTTTTTTATTTGCATGTGGGGGTTTGGAAAAAGCGATAGTCTAATTTCTACCGCTTTTCATGTTGTAGTTGTTAGGCGGGTTGTAAACGTGATAAAGTTAAAAGATACCGTGCATGAATTACCCTCGTTATTACTATTATTATTATTATTATTATTACTTATCAACTGTCTTTATTACTACTTACAAGGAGTATTTTACAAACACCCGTCCATCCATACCTAACACCCACACCGTAATTATTGTCGCTATCTCGACACGTAAACAACATTTTGGAGGAAAGAAATGTGTGTAATCTTGTAGAAATTTCTAATGGAGCGGTCATTAAACACATGCATTAAATTTATCCCTAAGGAGAAGTTTAGGGGAGCAAAAGCAAAAAAAAGAACACAACCCAAAAGGGAATAATTGTTGCTTGGAAAATCCCTCGTGTAAACGATCTAATTATTATATTGTATATAATATTGATAGCTATTTGGATGTGTCTTTGAACGCATAACGTCTGGCATATGCATCTGTATTAGATGGTTGGAGGCAATCGCCAAAAGGAAGCCTTGTCTAGACCTAGGTTTCGTGCTAGTTGACACTCAGCAGTCAGTCTGCAAGGTGTATCGGCAACAGCCTTGAAGGAATACTCATGTCCCTTCTGAGATTCGAACCCGCGTCACCCAGTGCTGTCTGCAGTCAGTCAGAGACGTTAGCACTGAGCTCTTCAAACTCGCGACTGACCTCTTCCTGTAGGACTGTATTGGATACTTCGATTGGACACTAGTAACTAGTCCTTTCTTTGGTGCACCTGCTGACTTAATCCTTATTGATTATGTCTTTGTCCTTGTTGAATCTCTATCTCTTTGTGGTTGTGTAATGATGATTATGTTGATAATGTGTTGTTTTATGACTGCGATTTTGTTTGAGTAAGAGTCATTCTAATCTTGGATTGTTTGGTGTGTAATTTCTGTGGACAGAGTTTTTATCCCTGTTGCTTGATGATAAGATTTCTCCAGTTTATTCAAAACATCCATGTATGGATAATCTTAGTGACTTGTATTTCGGTTTTCATGGTTTGCGCTGTCCTTTCTTGTATGACTTGCCTCACTCTGATGATGAAATGAACTTTGTTAAGTATGCAGACGATCTAACTATTTCAGTGGCTGTTAACTCTCAGCTAGACTGTACTAAGATGAACAGCTTTCTATCAGAAATTAGCAAATGGTATTCGTCTAATGGTCAAACTGTTAGTTCCAGTTTTAGATGTAAAAGAAAGTTAAATGAAGCTGTTAATTCCTATGACCGCTGTACAATTGATGATACTGATATAGAAATCAAGTCGGAAGTTAAGTATCTTGGATTAATTCTTTCTTCTGACCTATCCTGGTCTTCCGATGTCTTAGCGATTTCTAAAAGAATATTTCGTCTGACTTTTTACATTAAGAAGTTAAGGCACTCAGGCATAACTCAACCTCTCCTCTTCTTACAGTTTGTCAACTCGTGCATCTTACCTATTCTTCTTTATTGTTCACCCTTGCTTATTCTCTCCTGGATTGCTTAAAAAAAACTATGTCATACTTCGTAGAACTCTGAAGACTGACTGTCGGTAAGGCGAGTGGTATCCCATTGGCCCATATCGTTGACATCGTCATTGATAGGCACTTGATGTCATGCAACAAATTTGCTAAAGGAATGTTGTCAGACTGTGAGCATCCACCTTAGCTCTCGCAGCTCCAACCTTGTGCCTCCTCAGGTAAAACAAGAAGTCTTTTCAGAAGACTTTATGCACGTACGTCTAAGTATAAAAATTCCACTATACCATATTTGGCTGCACGTATTTTATGTGATGAAAATAGTGTTAGGCATGAACTAACCTTCTTCACACTAGTAAATAAACCATTTCCTCCAATCTTACAACAACAAGCTTTATTCTTGTTGTTCTTCTAATATTTATAATCCTCTCAATTTTTTATTTTTATTTGTTTGTTTTTTCATAAGTGTGAACATTATTTAAGCTGCGTTATAACTGTTAATTTTGTATTTCCCCTCACCGTGTTGCTATATCAACAGAGCATTAGATTCAATAATCTATAACATGCTAAAATTTCCAAACTGAATCGACAATACTGTTTGAAACAAACTCACTGTTATGATTGCTACTATAATATTTAATATTATCATTTCGTACTTCGAATATTTTTAGTTTATACTATAAATGTTGACAAATTCCTCTGGTTAATTTTGTTTTAACTTTTAATTTTACTTATATTTTGAGTAAATTAGATGCAATATTTTGATAAGTGCTGAGAATTACATTCTGTATTATAAGTAGTGCTGCTTTTGGAATAAAGTAGATTATTATTTTCTACCAGGTGGATAATTAAACAATTATTTTTCTATATTTTTATTGTTTTTTTTATTCCTTTACATTCCCCGTGGAACATAAGGCTTCAAGGTAGAGGCTTGGAGTTTATGTAGCAGTGTTTATTTTTACAGGATAGCGTTGCTATCCTCATCCCCAGCCTTCCCTCTTTACCAGCTTTTTATTAGTGGCTTAGCGAGGTAAAGGAGTGCGTCGGTCGGGAATCGATCCCCGGACTATGTGCATGGTTGGCAAGGGTCCTAACTGCAATGCCACCGACGCCTTGATATGATTATGAGCAATAAATTGTGCTCAAAACGTCATCAGTAAATATTAACTATATAACACTGTGAGACTTTATCGAAATAAATTTTATCCATAATGGAATTACACAATTGCTTATAGGCCTTTCTACTTCGACCTTAAAAGGTAGTGGTCTTCTTTGATATAGTTAAGTTTCACCTATTGTCAAACACCTAAAACACGCCTGAAACATTATCACTCTGAAATTAGTTTGGAAATATTCTACTGCACTCTCCATATAGAACAAGTTGCGGATTTTCAACATCAATGTTAAGTCAGTCACTTCTTCAATACGACTCAAACACTTGACATTCGCTTCACGAAAAACACTTCCAGTTGGCTACAACAGACTTTATAAATAACTGCTTTCCTGTTTGACTTCATACAGACGATCAGGTAGCTAGCCGGCCGGCCAGAAAGAATTAGCAACTGGGAAATCAGGGAATAAATCAAGAGGCGAGAACCTATTACTCAACAAATATGTGGGTCCCAGTGCCTTAATGGTCTACGACCTCGCTGGCCTTGTAACTAGGAGGTTCTGAGTTTGAACTCCTGTGGTGAGTGCATACTGATGAAGAGTCCCAAACTAGGCAGACGAAACAGCTGTACAGTATTCCCGCTAGTTCTCTAACTGATGTCAGCTTATGATGAAATACTCCAACCAATCAGCTATGTAGGAGAAAATGGAAATGGATAGCCCACTCTCTGAGGAGACCGTTGTGTGAAATTGCACACTAGGTCCTGGGAAGAGAAAGGACGAGTTGCACATCGGTCCGAGAATGACATGGAAGAGATGAAGCTTATGGAGAATCGTGAGATCAGTTGAAGAGGGCTGCAGAGAACATGATGTAATGGAGCCCAATGTTCCACTTCGAACTCAAAAGAATAACTCATCGTTCGATTAAAACTTACTCAGATTAAGATGTATTGACTACAATTCATTCAGATGTTGAAATGATTGAATTCATACATATTTTATATGTTTCTTTTTAATTTTTTTACATTCTATAGGGTGGTTATTTTCAAAATACACGATTTTGGCTTCCTACTCATAATGGACAATATATACTACTGAAATTACAAAGATCTCGGTATGTACAAAAACATTTTTTTTCGCTTTCATATATGCATATACATTTTGAAATATTGTTTATTTGAGGACTTTCTGACTTGGCCATCAGGGATATACACTTTAATATGACATTTCTGATAGCAGGTATTCAGGATAAATGGATGTCCAGTTCAGTTGTTTTTAGTCAGAAACTGTCACTCATATGGTGATTGGGATGGAATTGTCATTGTCAGTTTCTGAGTGTACACTTCTATGTAGTTAGTTAGATTTCAGTTACGTGAAACAGGCTTTTCATTTACCCAGTTGGAGTGGGACTCGAACTTATGACTCACTTAATTCAAGATCAAGAAGTTTTTTAGTCAATTGAGGCATTCAATGATCTCAATGGTGAAAACTTTGAGTGCTAGTCACAGCAGTTTCAGTCGTTGTGATGTGGTTTTATTCTTACGGAGTGGGATTGTTAACCCCTAGGCTTACTGCCAGGGTAAAGTGAAGTTTAGGAGTGTATTAGGTCGGCCGACAATCGAACCGGGATCACGTAGGGAGTAGTTGGCCAGCATTCTACCCTTAAAATGCATCTAGAATAAACTACTTTCCGAGATTTCCTGACAATTACAAAACGGAGAAAAGCAGCAAATCAAGCACACCTTTACATTAACTGTCTGACACAAAAGTATAATTCAAACCATTTAGGGAATAACAAGGCATGAAAGAGAATGGAGTCAGTATCAGAAACTGAAGAATAGGAATGAATATAACTCTATAAAACAAAAATAGAAAAATTCCCAAGAGAAATTAACCAGCAAGAATCAATATAAATAGATGAAACGATAACATCTCGTTCTGTGGTAGTGGTGGTGGGGGTAGCGGGAGAGAATGCAAAGTAGTGGTATAAAATCAATTCTAGAGTCCCAAACAAGGACGAAACAGCTGTCCAGTACTCCCAGGTTTTCCAGTGATTCTCTAACTGATGTCAGCTCATGATGAAATCATCCATGCAATTAAACAAAATCCCTACCAAACCAATACTTGAAAATTAATCTGATGCTCACTAGTGACTGGCCCTATTCAGGCAGTTAACCTGGAGTTCTAGTGGGAAGCCGTGACCAGTAAGGTACAGCAGGTTGAAGATGAGGCAGTAACTCATCGAAGAAGACATTGCGAAATGGTCGCGCTATGTCGTAAATTGGCAGAAGTTAGAATTCAAGGACCATTGGATCGGGTCCCAGTGGCTCAATGGTCTACGAGCTCGCCTTGTGACCAGAAGGCCCTGGGTTCGAACCCCACAGTGTGGGTGCGTACTGATGAAGAGTCCCAAACTAGGACGAAACAACTGTCCAGTACTCCAAGGTTTTCCAGTGATTCTCTAACTGATGTCAGCTCATGATGGAATCATCCATGCAATTCTAGAATTCTTTAGAAAAACATACTGATCCCCAGTGTATATTTTGTTTATTAAACTGTCATAACTAAATGAATAAGAAATAATTTGACGCTGGGAGACGCGTTAATGTATTGGTGCTGAATCTACTTCGTCAAGCACTCCCCACATTGGATGAAGAATCAAGAGTTGCAGTAGTTATTGACTTCCCAATTCATCGAGAGTGTTCCAGACCATATTTCTCAGCTACACAACCAGCCGTGGACACAATAGTGAGCTAGCAAAGGTGACCAGAGAGCTGTTGAGCACAATGGTGGCCGACGCAATAGAACCACAACGAGATTAATCGTTGAGAATGAGCGTCAGAAGAGACAAGTACTTTCAATGTGGCAAAACGAGACACTGGAGAGACGAAAAACGAAAAACCTTAAGCTAAATTTTGCGTCTTCTTTCTCTCTGATAAGACCAGAAGTGACAGGAGAGATCAAGAAGGGAGTAATGTATTCTAGGTTGCGAGTAAATGATTAAGATGTTGTATGTTGTTTAATAGATACAGAAGCGGAAGTCTCACTTATATAGATGCATATCTATGCCGGTTCGATTGTCGGCCGACCCAATACACTCCTAAACTTCACTTTACCCTGGCAGTAAGCCTAGGGATTAACAATCCCACTCCGTAAGAATAAAACCATCACAGCTACTGAAACTCCGAAGGTCAAGTTTGAAGCCCTATATTCCATTCGAGACGCTTAATACTATCTCTATCACACATGGAATTGTGGCCTAAGAGGGTATGTTAGAGTTATCCACTAGACCACTTGGGCCACTAGAGCCATCACCTCTTGTTCAACGGGTAACATTAATTGTTTAATTCAATTTTAGATTTTCCTGTCGATTGATTGGACCGAAGTGCTCGGTCTCAGATTGACATGTTGGGTATTTGTACAGATGCTTCAACGATATCTTCTTAGGATGTAATTAGAAGTAAATTGGTGGCACAAGTGGTCTATTGGATAACGCCTTGACGTTTGAAACTATGGGCACTGGGTTCAAGCCATGATCACTCACTGCGGAATGCAGGCACACCCAGATGACGAGCCCCAAATAGAACGAAATGCTCTTCCTGATGCATTCCACTGCTAGTCACCATTCACCAATTAATTTCTAATAACATACTCAAACATCGTTGAAGCATCTGCACAAGAAGCCGACATTTCAACCTGAGACGGAGCACTTTGGGCCAATCAATCGATGGGAAATTTTGTACTTGGTTGTGTGAGCTAGCTTATTATCTTTCATAATGAGTTCTAGTCTTACCGGATGAGATTCAGTCTGGAGGGAAAGAGTTGTTCGAATAAAGAGGGTGATGCAAGAGTTAAACTCTCATGCGTTCAGGAGTCTGTAGACTGACAACCTTGAATAGTCTCCACAATGTGACGAAGTCCTTTTTGAGTGAGTAGCCCTGGAAAGACTGAGGGTGAGCAATAAAGAACAGAAGGCGAGATTCAAGATTTAACAAAGTAAAGTAAATGTAGAGAGATACCTGATTGTGTTAACTTCTTAATGTAGAAGTTGGTTAGAAAGAAAATTTTCTTAGAAATTGACAAGATTTGAGATGACCAAAAGAGATCAGAAGATAAAACTATTCCAAGATATTTGGAGCTTGAATTGGTTTCCATCTCAGTGCCCTCTATACTACAAGCAACATTATGTGAACGAAGTTCGTGTAGACCACATTTATACTTGAAGGTGAAGTTAATCTCGTTGACTAAGAATATGCAGATGATACAGTCGTTCTGTGCGAAGACGTTGACAAATTGCAGAGTCTTCTGAACACCTTTAAAAGCAGCAATCTTCGAATGTTTGACACGTGATTGGCTCACGCTAAATGTAAGATGATGCTGCAGGACTAGACTCAATTACATTAACTCCTAGGTTAAAGATACGGAGGAAGTGAACTGGTGGCTGAGCGTGTTGACCACTTCACTTATTTAGGGAGTTGCATCAGCCCCCACGGCTTGATCGCTGACGAAATCTCAACACAGATACAGAAGGCTTGTTTTGCATGCGCCATCTCTGGCGTAGACGTTAAATCCGGCTGCCTATCGACCAAGGGACGTGTGTACTCCTCAGCTGTCCGGCTGTGAATCAGACAAAGCTATTGAAAGTGGAAGACATAAAAAGAGTAGCTGGCTAGCTGTCTTTGATCATAGGAGTCTGCATTCTATCTCCCGTGTTAAGTGGTAGAATATAGTGAACAATATTCAGGTTAGGCTACGGTTGAATGTTAGATAGGTGGGGGGGGGGAGATCAATCGACGCGGTTGTGAAGAAACATCGACAGAGATGGTTAGGACATTTGGTACGCATGCCTAGTCATCGCCATGCTTGACGGACAACGTAAGCTGATGTAGGATGGGTCAGGTTGCAAAAGAGCTAGTGATGAAAGTGTTCAAACCGATACATGACATCAGTCAATGAAATACACAACAGTTAGTTTAAGCCAGACATATAGAGAGGTGTAGACTTCCTGACTGGTTGGGGTCCTCGGGAAGATAAAGACCAATGGATAAAGACAATCGGTAATATAGCTCAAAATCGTTCTGAATGCCTAGTGTAGATGCATTCACTCTTTGTAACTCGTCACATCCTATAAGACTCTACTGTTCTTACAAATTACTAACCTTTTCGCCACACACTTCTGTTTATTATCTCTCTTTTATATCTGTCTTCAATATCTTATCTCGCTTTGTGTGCTACAAGTGGGAGGAGAGTGACAACTCGAACTGGTGCACATCTGTGCAAAGTTCTAAGTTGAAACCAGTCAGTCAGTCAGTCAGTTAGAAGGTGAAGTTAACTTTCTGATATTTAGAGGGATTTAACGTAAGACAGTTCATCTTAGACCACTGGTTTATGTCCGACAGAAGAGCTATTCAGTTTGGAACATTCAGAGGGCGAAGTAACTAAATGCAACGAAGCAGTCAGATGTCATCGACGTATGCAATATACAACTGTAGCCCTACCATGGATCCACTCTGATCTAAGAGTATTTCTTTACCACAAAATATGCTATATATACTATACTTCTTTGTTAATTGTTTTATAATCCATGATCCATTTTATCCTTATTCTTTTTTATTTTTATTTTTTTTGTATTCAGAATATTCAGTCATCCCGGTAATTATTCAACTCTATATTATCAAAAGAAAAATGATGGACAAATGTATGAATTCGAATCCGATGTAAGTCACTGTTATTATTGATGACATTAGTGACTTATACCGCCTTATATATTATTATATTATTATTTCCTTTAATTCCTAGAGGAACATAGGGCTTCAGCCGTGCGTCTCCATTGTGTTCGATTCTCTGCTAGAGTCTGCACCTGGCTCCAAGTCTGCCCACATGGTTTCATCTCTTCTTCACATGACCTCCTCCATGTCACCCTTGCACTGACGACCAACTCGCCGCTTCCCTTTCGGCCGGGTTCCACTCGAGCAATGGCTTGTCTAGTGATGTCACTTGATGGTTTGTTTACTCAGAGTATGGCCAGCCAATCCATCTCCATTTCTTCCTGCCTATTTGTTTCACAATCGGTTCCTGCTGAGTTGGTTCGCTCATTGCTAGAGATCTCCGTTGCTGATCTTTTCTGGCCAACCATCTGGTCTTGAGTAGTGTTGAGCGAAGACAACTGTTAATGAAGGTCTGTAGTTTGTTTTTGAGGTGCTCTTTATGACGCGTCAAGCCTTATACATGCAGCGAAATATTTTGTACATTGGTGTACACGTACACATCACTGTCAGTCGCTTGCTTGTTGAGTACTTTTCTATTCTGTATACCTCTGTGTCTGTTTGTGTGTGTGTGTGAAGATTTTTCTTGCTTTCCTGATCCTCTTCTAGCTGGCTTTGACATAACCTCATTCATTCCACCTACATGTGGTTGAACCAATACTGCCTAGATAAGTGGAAGAGGTGATTCGGCTTAGATTTCTTCGAGTAATGTTGACTGATGCTTGTTGATTTTGTTGTTTGGAGGATTTCATCATGAGCTGACATCAGTTAGAGAACCACTGGAAAACCAGCTGGGAGTACTGGACAGCTGTTTCCCCGTCCTAATTGGGACTCTTCAGCAGTACGCACCCACCGCTGGGGCTCGTAGACCATTGGGCCACCACGAGCTCGCCTTGTAACCCTGGCGGTGGGTGCGTACTGCTGAAGAGTCCCAAATTAGGCCGGGGAAACAGCTGTCCAGTACTCCCAGCTGGTTTTCCAGTGGTTCTCTAACTGATGTCAGCTCATGATGAAATCCTCCATGCAGTTAAACAAAAAATCCCTACAAAACCAAAAGCCAATACTTAAAGATGTTGTTTTTGTTGGTTTATAATTATGCCTACCTTGCTATTACTGTCTGTCTGTCTATATTTATTTACTTAATTATTTTTATTTGATCCTCTCTGTTTATTTAGAAATTGAAGAATTGTTTTTATACTGGAACAGTGAATCAAACAGATGAGCGATTCATCTCAAATACTCCATCTTCAACATCGTCATCGTCGTCATATGTTGCAGTAGATACGTGCTTTGGTTTACAGTAAGTTTTGTCTATTTTTTTGTATGGGTCTGCTTTCCTCTCCTGTTGACATTTCAATCTTCGTTGTGGCCGTTCTTTTCTTTTCCACACTTTATAACCGCACTGTTTTTTTGTTTTATTCGTTTACGTTCCCAGTGGAACATAGGGCTTCAAGCTAGAGCTTCGAAGTTTCAGTAGCAGTGGTATTTATTTTTACGGGATGGGCTGGCTATCCTGATGACCAACCTTCACTCTTTACCAGGCTCATTACTGCCTTAGCAATGTAAAGGAGTGCGTTGGCGGCCGGGGATCGAACCCTGAACCACTTGCGTGGTTGGCGAGCATTCTACCGCTATGCAACCAATGCACATAACCGCATTGTATCGATAATTAATTATTTTGTAGCAAATTGTCACCGATGGAAGTCAAGCAGCGCCGAATATCAGCTTTGCTTCTGGCCTGAGACACTTTGTCAATGCACAGTGATTTTTCACACCATGGATAGACCTCAGGAACTTCAAAGTTACACAATCAGTACATTAATTATATGTTATCCATTGTTTGAAAATTAAGGGCTTTGACCGTCGTCAAATGTCATAGCTGAATATCTGTTCGAGTTCTATAAGGAGAGAAGACAATGAAGTATGGGAAAGCGTAGATTGTTGCATAGAAGTTCATCATTTTGAATGGGGTTTCTTTGACATTATTATTATCGCCTTTATTTCATAGAGGAACATAGGGCTTCGGTCGTGCGTCTCCAATGAGTTCCGTTCTTCGTCAACGTTTTCATCACCTGGCTCCATGTCAGCCTACATGCTTTCGTCTCCTCTTTACCTGACCTACTCCTCCATGTCACCCTCGCACTGGCGACCAGTTAACTCACTACTTCCCATTCGGGTTCCACTGGAGCTATGGCCTGGTGTGTGATGTCACTTACTTGATGGTTTGTTTTCTCAGAGTATGGCCAGCCAATCCACCTCCATTTATTCTTGCATATTTCTTGCATAATTGGTTCCTGCTGGGTTGGTTCGTTCATTGCCAGAGATCCCTCCCTGATCTTCTCTGACGGGCCATCTGATCTTGAGCAGTATTGAGCGAAGATAGCTGTTGATTGATGCAGGTTTGTAGTTTGTTCAAAGTGCCCTTCGTAACGTGGCACGGCGCCAAGTCGCTGATCCGTGTGGCAAGTAGCACTGATTTCACATTGGAGTTGAAAGTCTGGATCTTATTTTTCATGCTGTGTACAGAGTGTTGACCTACACACAGTTTTGAGAGTAGTGAAAGCTTTCCTTGCTTTCCCGATCCTCGCTGCTTTGAAATCCTCATCACTTCCATCCGCCTGTATTTTAAACGATGCTTCCCAGGTAGGTAGGTCGGTAGGTAAAGGAGGTTGCTTCTTTCAGAATTCTTCCAGTTATTCTGGATGATTGTTGTCTATTGTTGTGGTTGCTGTCGCTGTTGGCCAGGAATCTTCCTCACCTATTTTTCTTTTCTCTATGTTCACGTGAAGTCCCATCTGCCGACTTGTTGCTTTTCGCTTGCATATCTTCCAGTTTGTGGGAAATCAGACATATATCACATCATCGAAATCCAGATCCTCCAAGTTTTTTGGGTGTGGATCCATTTTATATATGTCTCCTCGTTGCGTGCTCTCTGTCTGTCGCATTATCCAGTCTACAGCAATTAGGAAAATCATTGGAGATAGTAGTCAGTCAACTTGTCTTACTCCCGTTTTCACTTTGAAGGATTCCATGAGTTTCCCGTTGTGGATTACTTGGCATGCAGCATTGTCGTACAACTGTTGAATGAAGTGTATAATTGTTGGTAGCACTCCGTAGCAGTGGCAAAATAGTTTCCAAATCACATCTCGATCGACACTATTTGTCGGAGGCCTTTTCAAAGTCAATGAAGTTGAGATGCAGAGCTGACTGCCATTCCAAGCTGTGTTTAATGATGATCTGTAGTGCTGCGATTTGATCAATGCATGGCTTGTTTCTTTCACAAGCTTAAACTAAGTCAGAACTGTATTTGGACCGTATTTTTTATTGTTATTATTATTACATATTACTATTTCTTTGGGTTTCAAATGAAACATATTGTCACTCTTGTCGCCAAGCTAAATTCGTTGTTTCTCATTCAAGTTCCACTATAGTGATGGCTTACTTTCCGATGTCAACTAACGGTCTCGTCAGCTTGTCTCCGATCCATCTACATTTTCTTCAGAACATTTGTTGAGCAATAGGTTCTTCATTTGTTCACTTCCAAAGTTTCTTCTTGATAATTCTTTCTGGCCAACTATCTGATATTCATTATGGAGCCAGCAAAGTGGTGGGTAACTGTTCGAGATGCTTTCCATGAGACGGACATCAACTTCTTGAGCTATATAGAAGAATTGACTGGCTTAACATTAGTTAATATCAGTAAAAAGCTTGAGCATTGTGGATTAGATCAAATAAAGTATAATTATATTTTAATAGTTTACACACAATGATAAGTTTTGTTATTGGGCAGTAATTTTGCTCGAAATATTACCAATAACAAAACTTATCATTGTGTGTAAACTATTAAAATATAATTCTACTTTACTTAACATTAGTGTTGAAATTAAATTAAATTTTACACTTTCCCGTTGACCCGTTGACCGAAAGATGCCTCTCGTGGCCCAAGTGGTCTCGTGGATAACGCTTTGGCGTTTGAAACTATGGGCACTTGGTTCGAGTCTCGGTGGGAACATCGTCACTCAATAGAAAATGCAGGTACATCCAGACGACGAGTCCCAAATAGAACGAAATGCGCATCCTGGCTTTATTCCACTGCTAGTCGCCATCCATTAATTAAATTAGTGTTGAAAGTTTGAGATTTGTTGTTTATGCAGAGAGGTACAGTAGATTTCCAAACCGATTCTCGTATGATGAAGGTCTACCCTAGCATTCCGATTTCAGGCTGGTTCTGACATCTCATATGGAATCATTGGCGCTTATAGTCTACTAATACTTTTAGATAACTATAGACTATCTGATTAAAATAATTGTGAAGTAATCGTGAACCAATAGCTGGAAATTTTCGTTAATATAATCTAAAATCGATCACATTTGGAAATTTAATCATTTTCTATAAAACTTTATTCAACACTATCTATCCCCTTTGAGTTTTATACTCTCCTCTATTCCTGTTCAGTTTCTGTCTCTCTATCTGTTTTTGGTCTGTTTCAACTTTTTGCAGTAGTGAGTTAAATCGACTTACTGAGTAAGATTTCAAACTGGTTTTCCTGACCATTATTTACCTGTAGAATAATTGATTTCGCTGGAGTAAAGAATAATGTTTCTGCCACTGCAACGCTATCCAACGGACAGCACATGAATTCCAACTTCTGCCAATTCGCAATATATATATATATATTGCCCAACCGCATGCCGTTATCATAGGTGAGTAACTGGTCATCTCTTAAGCTGACTCGGTGGAACCCCCTGGCTTTGTGCAAGAAGTTATCTGGAGTTCTAGTGAGAAGTTGTGACCGACGGAGTCCATCAAGCCAGAGAGAGGAGAGAGAACACTTACTCACTCGCCTATGATATTGGCTGGCGGTTGCTCTATGCATACATATATCGTGAATTGGCAGAAGTTGGAATTCATGGGCTGGACATTGAATCGGGTCCCAGTGGCCGAATGTTCCACCAGCTGCCCTTGTAACCCGAAGTTCCTGAGCTCGAACGCCTATGGTGAGTGCGTACTTCTGAGGAGTCCAGAACTAGGACGAAACAGCTGGCTGTCCATTACTCCATCCTTGGTGGTTCTCTAACTCGTGGTAAAACCTGTAACCACCAATCAGATCTCCCCCTTGCTCGAGGAAGATCAACTGCTAATAACGCTTCTGTTCATCTGATGGCTACATCCTTCCCTCACAGATTTCGCTTTAGAATTCTCCGCTCCGTAGTAATCACTTGATTATTTCTCTTCTTCTTCTTCTCCTTCTGATTGTGATTGCTATTCAGTGACCCATTAAACTGGACTACAGGTGTTTCTGATGAATAATTCTGTGCTTTGAATACGATGGTTGGCTTCTATGCACTAAAATTAAGACGACAGTGAAACCCCCCTGCAGTGAAGCTTTTTACTCTTATGTCTTGTTTGGCTTTCTTATTCTACACTTCCATTATATAGATTGTTTAGTTTATTACGCTTTTTTACGTATACCTGTCATGGGTATAAATTTGTATATCTATCTGTATTGATTATTGGTGAATGCAGCTTTGTATTGAAGGTTTTGTCGGATAAGAGGCACTCAGAGGCTCGAATTCATGACTCAGCTGAACACGATCAATGCCATACTGTCGCCTAAACTGGTCAAATATTTTTATGCTGCTGAGGGAGATTGTGAATCATTTCACTTAGTTTCTCTGTCTATATGTTCTGGTTGGAATACAGATCCAATTTAGGTAAATTGGGCCTTCTTAGACAATTTTATCAGCAGTTGCCTCCCTCGCTGTCCAGAAAGAATCAGAAACAAGAAACTCTGAGAACAAACCAATCAAGGGCCTATCGTCGACAAATATGTGGTTGGGAATGGAGATGAATGGGATACACGCTGAGGAGACTGTTGGGTGATATTACACACCAACTAAGGCATTTGCTCGAGTGGAATCCGAACGGAGAGTCATTCATCTATTAAGGCCACTCAGATGACAACCACAGGCATACTGAAGGAGTAGCTATCAGGATAACACACCTTCATCACTCTGAAATCTGTTTGGACATCTACTGTTGATGAACTCAGCATACACAACAAGATACGGACTTTCAACACAAATGTTGAGTCAGTCAATTCTTCTTATCAGGTGTGTCACTGAAAGCATTTCGAATAGGTAGGTACCTGCAGGCTTTGATCAAAATGTGCCTTCGCTATCTCCATATTGAAGATTCAATAGCCATCAAAAGGAATTAGCAACAAGAAATTATGGGGACAAACTAATCGAGTATCTATCACTCAACAAATATGTAGAAGAAAATGGAAATGGATAGGAGACACTGAGGAGGACGTTGGGTGATATCTCGCACAAGAGACCATTGCTCTAGTAGAACACGAATGAGCAGCAATGACGAGTTGGGTGTGTGTCCGAGGGTGGAGACGATCGTGTGAGGAGGACGAGGTGAGAGCCTATGGGCGATCGACGGGCCATCTGAAAAGGACTGCAGAACAGAGGACAGGACAAAATAGAGACGTTCTGTTGAAGCCCTATGTTCCACTTGGAACCAAAGGGAATAATCACAGTAGTAATATGCATCATTAGAGGTTGAGTTTTGTACCCCTGAAATCCTGTTGAAGTTGATCGCTTCGAGGAAAAACTAAAGTCGCATTTTAGAAAAGAATTACCTCTTTTTTCCTTCAGAAAGAAAGCTTGCGTCATTCACCCTAGATGTATATATCCATTCCTTTGTTATTCAGTATGTTTTACTGTATGCTAATTAGTGAGACAATAATAATAATAAGAATAATAAAGCTTTTGATGTCTATTCCTTTCATCATCTACGTTATTATCTGGTTGCATACAGAATTAGTTAACGGCGTATTTCTCCGCTCCGCTCCAGTGATTACAGTCTCATTTTGAATGCATGGGGAATGCAGTACTGTAGTGTACTGTACTGTAATCAACTCTAAACATCAAAATTAACAATGTGCAATGTGAACAGTTTGAGAGGTGAAATTTCCAACACAGTTTCTTGTGGAAAGTAAATTTTAATCAGATCAGCACACTATGTGGGATCTGCTTGATACTGTCATAACTGGTAATCAAAATAGCAAATATATTTGTATGAAACTATATACTACTCATTAATTGATTGATTGAGATGAGTAGTAGCTGTATACCGCTCGCATCGACCAGTAGTGCGTGCTACCCAGATTGGGTACACTGCTGTTGATGAGGTCGACCCGAAACCAGCGAAACAATCGTCCTGTGGTGTTTAGATCACCTCTATCTGTCTGGTTGGCAAACAGAACTGGTTCATGTGAGTGGTATTCATCTACTACTACTGATCTCAATCAATCAGTAGTATATGGTTTCATGGAAATACTCTAAGTAGATATCATTCAAGTGATGTTGTCAAACGCCAAGCAGACTTTCAGGTTGAGTCGTTGAATCTTCATGTTCCACTTTGAATACCTGACCTGTGGTCGTGGAGCTTGTGTGTCGCATTGACCCAACAAGCTACACTGGCTGAAACTAATGTTTCTGCATGTCTTACCATGCCAGGAAGTTGATTAGGATAGCGATTAGACTAAAAGCAGTTACCGGCATAGTGTAAGATCTTTTTTAAACTATGCTGGGGTTCTGTGGGCAGTATCGTACTGCTGGAGAATAGTGATGTGACAGCGGTTAAGGTGTTTCTCTTAAATGACCAGCATGCCAGCCAACTATGCTGTCTCTTCACTCTGGACAGTGGGGGTTAGAAAAGGCTGACTCTAAAAATTGTACATCTCGATTTACCACCGACTACGGACTACCGTGGGGTAAGTTATTAATACAGGACCAAATCTAAAAGCCATTTCAAACAGACCGTGTGTGACCGGCCTCAAGCAGTCTTCTCCTGGGTTCTGCGGTTATTATTATTATTGTTTCCTTTAATCCCTAGAGGAACATAGGGCTTCAGCCGTACGTCTCCATTGAGTTCGGTTCTCCTCCAATGTTTTTATTACCTGGCTCCACGTCTGACCACATGCTTTCATCTCCTCTTCGCATGACCTCCTCCTCCACGTCACCCTCGCACTGGCGACCAACTGACTTGCCGCTTCCCATTCGGGTTCCACTTGAGTAATGGCCTGGAGTGTGATGTCACTCACTTGATGGTTTGTTTTCTCACAGTGTGGCCAGTTCACCTCCCTTCCTTCCTTTTACATGTGGCACAATCGGTTTCTGCTGGGTTGGTTCGCTCATTGCCAGAGATCCCTCCCTGTTGCTGATCTTTTCTGGCCGACCATCTGACCTTCAGCGAAGTATTGAGCGAAGATAGCTGTTGATGATGAGTGTCTGTAGTTTGTTCAAACCGCCCTTCGTGACGCTGCACGGCGCCAAGTCTTTGATCCCTATAGCAAGTAGCACTGACTTCACATAGGAGTTGAAAATCCGGATCTTATTTTCATTTTCATGCTGAGTTCAGAGTTTCCATCTGCACACAGACATGAGAGTAATGAAAACTTGCCTTGCTCTGCGGTTACGCAAAACTAATACTCTTTCTGTATGAAGTACTTCAAGAAAAAAAATCAAATTCCACGATGTGGACAACCGAGAAGTGGCTACCGTCCATACACTTCCGAAAGCACACGAAGCTCTCCTGAATGAATGACAATAATACTAACATTTGAATTGCGATTAGAGTAAGAGACAACGTAGAATAAATTTTCGATAATTTATCGATTATTTATCCTTTTTCTTATTCATTCTTTATTTTTGTTTTTCAACTTTTAGTGGTATTATTCATTATGCGAATCAAACCTATGGTATACGACCATTACATTGTTCTCAGTGTGATCCTGGTACAATGCCTCATATACTTTTTCCACATCGATCAAGTTTAATTAACCGAGGTATGTTTCGTTGTTTTTTTATTTTTGTGTTTTGTGTCTATTTACTTTCCTAAAAATACTTTTGAATCACTATTTATACATATACGGGATGATGGTGACCATTATGGTGATTGCGTTGAGATCGATAATTTGGGCTACATCTAGGTTGAAGATTATAAAATTACAGCTATCCAGCCATTATGTAATCATTTGCAACCCTATTTCAATTGAATAAGGCTAGGGTTCAGTGATTAACTTGTTTTTAGACCGAATTGTGCGAGTCAGTTGTTTCGTGTGTGTCATCATTATACATTGTGATAGTGTGTGTTAATGGGCACACAATGAGAAGAGGCCGTCGAATGACATTGCGCCATCGCCAGACTATCGCTCGAGTGGAAGCCGAGCGGGAGTATCCGAGAGTGACATGGTGGAAGTCGTTTGAAGAGGAGATGAGAGCCTATGGGCGATTGTGGGACTACTTGAAGAGACTCACAGAAAATAGGATGAAGTGGGGAAGTGCTGCTGAATCTGTATATCACACTCGGAAGCCGAGAAACAATAATAATATTAATAAATAATGTTTAAAGTATAGTTGTTTGTCACTTATTGTCATGAAAACTGACAGGAAATCCTTCAAAGCATTAAGGCAAAGTCGAGGTGCGTTCGAAAACTAAGTCTTGTGTTCAGCTACACACCTACGAAATCTGCAGTCATGATAGTTTTGGGACTGCTAATTTAAACCTTGAGCTTTTGGTTGTCACTGTGATTGACTGACTATATGTTCAACGTAGAACTTTCCATAGACATGCAGCAGTTCCACTTGCCACACTCCCTCCTTGTAGCACACAAAGCAAGGGGAAATGTATTGACAAATTCAAAAGAGAGAGATAATAAACAGAAGCTTGAGTGAGGTCAAAAGAATAGTAATATAGAAGAACAATAGAGTTTTATTGGATATTATAAATCACGAAGAGTGAGTGCATCTGCGCCAGCCATTGAGAATGATTTTGAGGCACATTATCACCAACAGTAGGTCTCCAGCCACTGGTCTTTACCATCCCATTGACCTCAACCAGGAAGCCAATCTACACCTCCCTACGTGGCGGCTGGCTTAAACTAACTATTGTGGATTTCATTGACTGATGAAGCCATGTTTTCGTTTGACCATCACTATCTCTTTTGCAACAACCTGATCCTATGTCAGTTAACATTGCCCGTCGTTGAAGAAAGCAATGGATGGCTAGGCATGTGTGTGAAACACATATCCTAACAATCTCTGTCATTCAGTGTAACTTCACAACCTGATCGATTGACTTACCCTCCTCACCCTACACTCTATGCTTGACTTCATTATCGCTCACCAAATTATACCACCAAATATGGGTGACAGAACGCAGACACCTGTGATTAAAGACAGCTAACCTTTTCATACCTTCCACTTTTAATGGTTATGTCCTACTCACAGCCATAAAGAAGAACAAAGAGAAATGTTGCGTCTTACATACGGCCTTTGACTGATAACCGGATATCATGTTTACGCTAGAGATGGTGTAAGTTGGCAAATGCTGCATCAGCTTTCTTACCAGGAAAAATATATTTATACATATTTATATCTGCATGTATATATTACTTGTAAATCTTGTGATTGTCACACGCCACACTCGTCTCCCTGTCAAATAATTTCAAGCGGAGCAGTTCCGACCTTCTTAGTGCTATCTATTCTTGTTGTGTCTTGTTATTGGCCTTCTTATCCCACTGTATCCATCTCTAAAGTTGGCTAGTGCTAACACGTATCTGTTTGTCTCCTTTTCTAATGGGTATACTCGAGACCAAGTCTCTCGGTGGTGACAGTGTATGGTCCTTCTCAATCTGGATGAAGTTTCCGTGATCCTAACCCGTACCTAACCGTTTACTTTCTTCTTCTACAATTTTACTTGATCTCTGACTTCAAAAGTGATGCATTTCCTGTCATCACTCTCTGTTCGGATTTCAGCGCCTCCATCTTCCGTTTAAACTTTACAATATTACAGATACATAGATATGTTCAGAGACGGTTATCCTTCACAGCTGTAAAGAAGGACGGAAATTATTGCTAAAGAGTAAAATTTCCTCCTCTGATGGATAAATGGATGTAATATTGTATTTAATTCAATGTGGACTTTCTCGTCGATTGATTGTGGACCGAATTGTTAGACCTATGTTGACGTATCGGTTCCTTGTGCGGATACTACGACGATTTCTGAAAATTTAATCTGAAATAATCCTGTGGATATTGATTAGCAGTGGCGCAATCCACGAGGATGTGCATTTCGTCCTATTTGGGACTCGTCTCAGCTGGATGTACCCAGTACCCATAGACCGAACACTTCAGTCCAATGAATCAACAGGAAAACCCAAATGGATTTAAATCATAACTGACAACACCCATTGCACAAGAGATGGTAGCTGTCGTGGCCCAACAAGTGGTCTAATGGATAGATAACGCTTTGGTGTTTGATGAAATGACCGGGGTGGGGTGGGGGAACACTATCCCCCAGTCACTCACTCACTCACTTACTGGGGAATGTGTGCGGGTACATACTTTAGTTGATGATTCCCTCAGATAGGACGAAATTCACATCCTCGTGGATTCCACTACAGTTAGTCACCACCCAGAAAAATTACTTCAGGATATCATATCTGTTTCAATGGTGAAGTAATCGGGCAAATGAAAAAAATATACCTGAAAGCAAATGACCTTATTCAAAAACACTGCACACATCTACCTGGTTCAATGGATGACGCCTACAATTTAGAAAAAATAATATTGTTCTGTGCCTTACTAGTTAGTACTACCACTGACTTATATTTATTATTATTTATTGTTCCCTTGGGTTCCTAGTGGAACATAGGGCTTCAACTGCACGCCTCCACTTGCTTCTGTCTTCTGCATCCATGTTAGTCCATGCTGTTTCAGCTCTTCTTCACACGATCTCCTCCATGTCACCCTTGGACGTCCCACTCGCCGCTTCCCTTTCGGGTTCCACTCGAGCAATGGCCTGACGCGTGATGTCACCCAGTGGCCTCCTCAGCGAGTGTCCAATCCATCTCCACTTTCTCCTGCATATTTGTTGGACGATTGGTTCTTGTTTTGTTTCTTTGTTCCCATAGTTTCTTGTTGGTGATTCTTTCTGGCGGCCATCTGATCTTCAGTATAGAGCCAGCGAAGACAGTTGTTGATAAAGGTCTTCAACAGGCTGTTGGAAATATTCTTTGTGACCCATCAAGTTTCTGATCCGTACGTATAGAAGAACTGACTGACTTGACGTTTGTATTGAAAATCCGAATTTTGTTGTTGATGCTGCTGAGTGACGAAGATTTCCAGATTGGTTTCAGGTTGATGAATGTGTTTCTCGCCTTCCCGATTCTCGATTTGACATCCTCGTCCGTTGCTCCTGTAGTTGAGACAATGCTCCTTAGGTAAGTGAATGAAGTAACCTCTTTCAAATCCCTCCCGTTGATGGTGATTGGTGCTGGATGTTGCTGTTGTTGTTGTTGTTGGTTGGTTATTTTCATAACCTCCGTCTTGTCTATGTTCACCTGGAGTCCTGTCTTTGCTGCCAGCCTCTTCGACCAGTTTGTGGGTTTTCGCTTGTAATTCTTCGATTTTGTGTGCCATCAAACATAAATCATCCACACGCGAAATCCAGGTCTTCTAGGTTCTTCATGTCGGTCCAGGATATCCCTGTCTTCTCGTTTTCACCACTGTCTGACGCATAATCCAGTCCATCACAATTAGGAATAACGTTGGTGATAATAAGCACCCTTGTCTGACTCCTGTGTTTACTCCAAACGCCTCGCTGAGTTTTCCGTTGTGGATCACTTGACATGTGCCGTTGTCATACAGCTGTTGAATAAGGTTGATGAATATTTTGGGTACGCCGTAGTACTTGAGTAGTTTCTAAATTACCTTGCGGTCAACGCTGTCGAAGGCCTTCTCAAAATCTATAAAGTTGAGGTAGAGGTTTGATTACCATTCCATGCTTTGTTCGATGATGATGCGTAGAGTTGTAATTCGGTCAGAACATGATTTGCCTTCCCTGAATCCACCTTGTTCTGGTCGGAGTTCTGTATCCAGTGCGTCCTTTATTCTCTCCACTGACTACTATCCTTATATTACCAGTATTGATATCAGTAGTATATTAAACACGTATAAAAGGGAGGGAATTTTGTCTGCAATAAGCCATACTTTATGCAATATAACATATACACACATAGACGCACGAAGGAGGTACACACCTCCTTACCTACTGGAATCAACTACTCGGCTTTCCTCTTTTATCTTTTCTGCGCTTATCAAAAACAGATGTGGGGCGTGGGGAGGGGGTGTTTTATTTTTTGCTTTCCAAAAGAAATAGTCAAAAAATATTATTCATCGTGCAGTTGTTTGCAGTTGTTTTTCATCTTTTGATACTGAACTATATTCAGTATTAATAGTAATAATAATAATAGTGATGCAATATGAATAATGTCTATAAAGTGGGGGAAAATCGGAAAGCAATCGGACAACTGTTCTTTGTCCTATTCTACGTCTCCCTCTCCCTTTTCTATCTCCTACTCCTCTCTCTCTCTGGATTGTTAGACTTCCCATTTTGGCATAGTTAATTTTAGACTAATATTAGTATATTAGATAAAATTTACTACCACTAATAATAATAATGATAGCGATAATAGTAGCGCTTACAGATTATGTCAGTGTCTATAATATTAGAGATTAGGTGATATATAAACAAGACAGTTCGGATAGTGTAAAAGAAGGGGGAATAAATTCAGCAGATGAAAGAAGGTTCGATCAAATTTTATTCTTTTCTCAACAGAGGATTGGGGACTTCACTAGGCACAGCCTATCCTTCTCATGTTAACTCTAACTGTGCATACAAATTTACATGTATCTGCGTGAGTAGTTACACTGGAAGATGGTCGGGGGTGGGTACCTTGCGCTGCGGGTTGGCCACCCCTCCGCACACCTCTTCAAATGCTCCCATATGACCGGGCGTCTTACATAGCCTCTCCTGAGGAAGTCCTACTCACTGCCTTCACGTGGCGGAGGTGTTTTACACCAAAGTGAGAGGGCGAAAGCGGATGCCCGGCGCTCTTCACCGGGTTGACTGTCCATTGGATGACAGTCTAGGGGAGATGGCTAAACCCTGATTCAAAACCTCCAACGACTGGCGTATGAAGCTCACTGGAACTCACCGGCAGACGTATGGACAAAGGGCTTGTTGGATGTCCTGGATGTCTGGCCCCATTCAAAAAGGTGTATGAACCGAACTCCGGTCACCGGCTGCCAATGGATAGTGGACTCCCTACTCCACTCCTACTGCCTTGTAGGTCACACTTGGTTGTGTAAAGGCTAGAGCTGCACTCTCAAACAAAAAGCCGAGTGGTTCTGGGGACATCACTCGTACCAAATTCCCATGAAACTTCGTAAACTCTCTTCATCAGATCGCTGCGCCTGGGTAGCGATGATTTGAGAAGTTCATGAAGCCGGCTCATCCCTCCGTAGGAGATAGCCGAAGCAAAGTAAAGTAAGTAACCGAAAGAAGAAGGGCATACCTCCGATTTTCTGAACATTTGTTAAAAAGCCCATGTCTCAGGAGAACAAATGCCTTAAACAATGCCATCGCCAGGCATCTCCTCGACACGTGTCATGTGGTGGACGTGGCAAGAGCGTTGAAAATTGTCAGTAGGCAAAAGAGTTCAATTCTCCTCAAGTTTGCTGAAGCCATCTTCATCAAGCTCCTGAAACTGAATTTATGCGTCCAGAAAGAAGCAGTTATCAGTCTTTCCTTAGCCTGGTCACTGGATATTTTCACCCTCTCTTTAATCTGAATACGTAATGGCGAATGTTTCCATTGTGTATGATCATTATGGTTCGGAATACAGTGTTTATTATTATATATATTATTATTGTATGCATATATTGATTGGTTTTTGTTTAAAAGTGAACTCTGTGCAAGGATGTTGAAATTGTTTCTGTAGATATACTTAGTAATTAATGTCTTTGGTCTGTGCACAGCTGAACTGATGAGAAGCCAACGAAACGAACAAGGATGTGGTAGCATTTTATCCTGCGAAAACCACCGTTGTTCTTGCTTTAATCAAATTCATTAAGACGAATACTTGTATGAAACATAGAGAAGATGAAATCGATGACGATAAACGATCGATAAAACCAGTGGAATAAATTCGAAAGAGGTCTCTTCCTTTACTTATCTACGAAGCATCCTTTCAATGCGACTCTTTCAACATGGATGGGAATGTCAAAACCAGAATCGGAAAGTCAATGCAGACATTCATCACTCTCGAATCAACATAAAGAACATAATTCTGATCTTCCACACCGATCCAAGGTTATTCAGTCCTTCCATATTGGTCAGAAACTTGGTGTGTGTGTGTGTGTGTGTGTTATGGAAAGCATTTATCAATGGCTGCCTATCTCTCTCTCGCTGGCTTTATATTTCGGACATTATACAGCTGGCCAGAAAGAACCAGAAACAATAAACTCTTGGAACGAATCAATTAATATTTAGAAGAAAATGAAGATGGGTTGGCCACACGCCACTGAGGAGACTGTTGGTGACATTGCCTCGAATGGAATCTGAAATGGGAAACAACGAGTCGGTTGGCATTGTGAGGATGATATGGAGGAGATGGGCAATTGTGGGGTCAATTTAAAAGAACAGAACTTGCTGTATTCAGTCCAAAAATATCAAGGAAGAATTACAGCCTTAAGCGGACAGATATTGCTATGCTCTAATATATATTTAGTGATCATATACTTCTGGCTTTTAAGTTCTACACCCTTATGTTACCTTGTGGCCAATACTGTTATTATTTATTTATTTTATGTAATTTTTAGATGTTCAATTACCCGTGTTTTGGAGGCCTACCGATGTTTTCAGTATCATGAGTAGAAAACCTAAAATGAAGGTAGTAGGCGATGGTCCTCGAGTGTATACAATAAATCTTGCCTTAATTCTGGATCATCATTTGGTAAGTGTTCTTGCATATTTTACAAACAAATTCACTTTCTCTTTTTTCTCTCATTTTAATATGCTCATTTTATTCGATTTGGAACTCGTTTAAGCGGGATGTTTACCTGCATTCCCCAGTGAGTGACGCTGTTCCTCCCGCTTCCGCCGAGACTCGAACCTTGTACCCGTCACTTTGAACGCCAAAGCTCTGTACACTAGACAACTTGAGCCACGAGAGTCACCTTTTGTAAAACAGGTATCAGTTATGACTGCAGGTTCATTCAGGTGACGAGTCCCGAATAGGACGAAATACGCATCCTAGTTCCTTCTGCTAGTCACCATACATCGAATAATGTCATGTTCATCCTGAAACCGCTGGAGTGTCTATACTGAAGTGAACTGAGATACTTCATACAGATAAAGTATTCTTATTGCTCGACTGTAGAGCCAAGCGGACAGGTGGTGTACGTAGGAAAACCTTCACTCCAACTACGGGGGGAGTGTCAACCTTTACAAGCAATCCTATCCCCATAGTACAGTGAGGTGGCATAGTTGGTATGGTGGTCGATATCCAGTCTCTGGAAACAGACCAATCACAATTCGGCCCAAGTAAATGATCGATATCCAGTCTGTGGAAATAAACCAATCAGAATTGGTCGACAGTAGAATAATGCCCACTGTTTTCGCGACTCTTTTTGTACGGATTTGATTTGTTTCAAATTTGATCACTGATTGATATCAGTTAGAGAACCATTGAAAACAAGCACCCTGTTTCGGACTTGTCGGAAGTACGCACCCACCTCATGAGTTCCAATCCAGGACCTCAGGGTTACACGGTGAGCTCATAGACCATTTAGCCACTGGGACTAGACTTGTTGGCCAACCTATGAATGTTAAATTCTAACAATTGGTTATTTTAACGTGACTGTCACCAGCCAATGTCATCTGTGTTGAGTATTTATCCTCACTCTCGACCTGGTGAACCCCACCAATTGGTCACAACGTCTCACCAGAACCCACTCCAGGCAAGCTCATCCTGCAGCCGGTCACTAGAGAGGAGCAGATCAATTGTCAAGAGTTAGTTTGGAGGGATTTGATGTGTTTGAAGCTTGACGATACACGAATTGTTATCAGTAAGAGAACCATCGTCAATGATTGTTCTGCAACTAGTTTCAAGTAGTTTCCTGTTACTTTTCGTATGTGACCTATCTTCATCTCAACCTTTGAAACTTAATTTCGTTGTTATCCGCTTGTGAGTGACCACAGCACGAAGTGTCCTGCAATTCTAATGAGAAATTGTGTCCAGTGAGGTTCCACTTGGTCGAGAGTTACGACAAATACTCGCCATGGATGACACTGCCGTGTGCCTGTTGCGCTTAATTCACGAAATGTTAGGAGTTGGAATTCACGGGCCGGCTATTGAGTTGAGTCCCAGTGGTTGAATGGACTACGGGCTTGGCTTGTGACCGGAAAGTTTTGGGTTCGAACTCTGGTGAGTGGATGCATGCTTCCGATGAATCTGAAACTAGGACGAAACAGCTGTCGTATAATGTCGTTGTTGGCGTAGTCAAGCGATAGTCATGATCAGCACATCTGCGTCCAGCTCAGCGTCCCCAAATCAGCCTCGACGTATTGTGAAAAATATACAAAACTAGCCAGCTGGCTCGTTGGACGTCAGAGGAGGACGTGCAACTGCTGGTACAACCGCCTTCCCTCCCCACTCCTCAATTTATCAGTAGTAAGAGGAGTCGCTCTTTACGAACTATTCATGTATTTTTATTTTTATCAGTGTTATTATTATTATTGATTTTATATTTGTTTTTCCTTTCCTTTGGTGAACAACCATCTTCTATAGTTTACCACTTTTGGACATAATCTTGAACGTGGAATTCACTACCTGAGCAGTGTATTTAATCAAGTCACCAAGGTAAGTATTAAATCAATAAATTTTATTTTTATTGTCTAAACAGATTGACGATAAGCAGGAAAAGTGACAGCATATCTTTCAATGTTCTATCCTATTACTCGATCAGTCTTGACTTATGTTATCTTCGTTTGAATAGTTTGATCTGTAGCTTATAACAAAACTACCGCCTGTTCCTTCATGACGTCGTCAGTCATTTTCTACTGGACAGTACTGATATATATTATTTGAATAAAGCAAGAACAACAGTTTTTGCAGAATAAAGTGGTACCATCATTGTTTATTTCGTTGCCTTCTCGTCAGCTGCTTACAGGCCAAAGTTATTATTAAGTATATCTACAGAAACAATTTTAGCATACTTGCACAGAGTTCATTTTAAACAAAAATCAATCACTCAGTATGCCTACGATAATTATATACATATAATAATGTTAAACACTATTCCGAACAATAATAATCATACACAATGGAAACTTTTCAGCCTTACGCATTCAGATGAAAGAGAGATGAAAATATCCAGTTACCAGGGTAAAGAAAGACTGACAACTGCTTCTTTCTGAACGCATAAACCGGGTTTCAGGCGCTTGATGTAGATTGCTTCGGCAAACTTGAGGAGAATCGAACTCTTTTGCCTACTTACGATTTTGAACGGTCTTGCGACGTACATATCATGACCCGTGTCAAGCAAATGCCTGGTAATGGCACTGTTTAAAGCATTTGTTCTCTTGAGACACAGGCTTTTTGGTACATGTTCAGAAAATTGGAGGTATGTCCTTCTTCTTTCTGTTCTTTGAATGTAACTGCTCCCGTAGATACATGTAAATTTGTATATACAGTTGGAGTTAACAAGAGAAGGATATCTATCGATTTTTGATCGCCATTTTCGAAGAATTTTCACCTTAGCTATCTCTTTCAAAATTTGAGATTCCGCAGCATTAGGCGGCAACATTAACAACTTGTGTGTACCAGTACACTTATTATCACTATAGTTAATATTGCTGTTCCTTTGGTTCTGAGTGGACTATAGAGCTTCAGCAGCGCATTTCCAAATTTCTTCTATATTTTCTACAGTGTTCCTTAGTTGGCTAGTTCCACGATTGTCCATTGTTACCCATTTCCTCGTACGATCTCGTTGATGTCACCCTTAAGGTGACGCCAAACTTGTCGTTTCCCATTCGGGTTCCACTCGAGCGATGACTTGACTGGCGTTCGATGTCAGTTAATGGTCTCCTCAGTGAAATGTGCTCAACCAATTTCTGTTTTCCTCTACATATCTCCTTGTTGAGCAATTGGAGGTTCTTGTTTGATTTGTTCCCAGAATTGTTGCTAATTCTTTCTGACCAGTCATCCATTTGATATTCAGGATGGAGGCTGCCTCCACTGGTGTGTTGAGAATGCTTTTCGTGATACGCTGGCAAAGTTTCTGGCCCATTTAGAAGAAGAGGCTGACTTTATGCTTAGGTGGAGTGCAAAAGATTTCTAAACTGAATGTATGTCTCCTTTTTACCGATGCTTCCTTCTACGTCATCATCTGTGCCACCTGTAGTTGAGAAGATGCTGCCTAGATAAGTGGAGGAAGTAACCTTTTTCAAATTTTACCCCTTGATAGTGATTGGTGCTTGTCATTGTTGTTTGGTTGGTTACTTATCTTCCCCACCTCAGTCTTTTCTATGTTCACTTGGAGTCCTGTCTTTGCTGGTTGCTTCTTCAGCCAGATTTTTGGTTTTTCCATGTGAGTAAGCCTTCTAGTGTCTGTGACATTAAATTGTTAGCCATTTGTATTTATTTTTATTAAACCACACATAAACTTGATAAATGATGGGCACCAAAAGATGCTCTACATGAAATCTCATCGTTAATTGAAGGAACTAACTGGGATACTCCACGGATATGGCCAGACTGAAACAGGTGATTACCCCTCTGTCCAAACCTTCGACTCGTAATTTGATCTATAACCTGCATACTGAGTTCTCATGGTTTCCAGCGACTAAAGCAGGTTTATACACTATTCAGTGTTTTTGAATTCTGGTGTGTCCATTTACATCGTTAGGTGTCCACCAACCATCGAGGTAGTGAGTGCTTGATGTTGACTTTTTGCTCTTTCATTTCTATCTGAAGAACATTCCCTTTTTCTCATGAAGGCTAGTGAACCTACTTGCCTGGCAAAGGCTAAGAATGCGCTTGGCTACATGAGGAGAGCATTTCTAACGGAGAACTGAAGTCTAATCACACTCCTCGGCTGTACCAGATCGTTGACCAAAAGACGTGTGAGTACTGCTCAGCAGCAGTTCGCTCCGTTCTCCTTTATGACTGTAAAACATCGACATTGAAGGTGTGTTTTTTATTCCTTTACTTTCCCTGTAGAACATAGGGCTTCAAGCTAGACACCTGAAGTTTCCGTAGCTGTGGCGTTTAGTTTTACGGGGTGGAGTTGCTAGTCTCATGTCCAACCTTCCCTCTTTATCAGTCTTATTATTGGCTTAGCGAGGAAAAGGAGTGCCTTGGAGGCTGGGGATCGAACCCTGAGCCACATGCATTGTTGGTGAGCATCCTACCGTTGTGTAACCGACGCACCGTTGAAAGTGTAGATGGCCTGAAAAGGTTAGCTGTCTTTGATCATAGGTATCTGCGTTCTATCTCCCATGCGTATTAGGTGACACAATAGGGTGAGTAATATTGAGGTTAAGTAACAACAGAAAATCAGTCGATGAGGTTGTGAAGTTACGTCGACTAAGAAAGATGGTTAGGATGTGTGTTATGCATGCCTAGCTATCCATTGCCTTCCTCGACGACGGGCAATGTCAGCTGACACAAGATGGTTCAGGTTGGAATAGAGCCAGTGGTGGTTAAGCCAAAGCAAGGCATCAATCAATGAAGTCCACAACAGCTAATTTAAACCAGCCAGCCACATTCTGTGGTGTAGACTCCCTGACTGGTTGAGGTCTTCGGAACAAGAAAATCCAGTGAGGACTGGAGACAATTAGTGATATGTCTCCCTCTTTTGAACCTCTCTATGCTGTCTTCTCTTGCGTTGTGTGACACAAGGAAGGAGAGGGACAGCTGGAACTGCTGTACATCTGTGCAAAAGTCTATGTTGAAACCAGTCAGTTAGTCAGATCGTTTCTGTGAAGGAGGTCGGGAGGAGGAAACATGCAAATAATTTTAATGTTTATATTTACCTTTACTGAAATTACCCTTTTGCAGTGAATGATTGTCAGCAAACTGGTTTCTCTTTTTTTTGAATCATTTTTGATTTGTAAGCTATTCAGCATTAATTCTTGTTTATATTACTAAACGTATACATTAGTGTATGTATACAAGTCCTTGGTATATTATTGTTAGTGTTGATAATGAGGAATAAAAAAAATCTCATTAACCACTAATTTATTCCCCATTTTATTCTACCTAATTTCTCCTACTACTAAATTGTTTTCATCCCTTTACGTTCCAAGTGTTGAACACCCACAGAGATGGGAGGCGGGGGACTTCAAACCTAATGAGCTTTGAAGTTTCGCGGTGGCAGTGATTTTATTTACTTTTTTAGGGAATGGGAGGCATGTTTGCTGGCCTCACACACCATCCAACCTTCCCTCTTTACTCACTACTATGGGGCTTACTACCAGCTTAGTGAGAGGTTAAGGAGTGTGTCTGCCAGCAGACTTTGAATCTCATGTATGCTATGACCACAGTTCGACCAAGTAGCTAACTAGCTAGCCAAAAATCCGGTGTGCTTTTGACTTATTCGACTCCCTGAGCTTAGTCAGTGAAATCGAATAGGTACACCGGTGATGAGGAGCCCGACTCCAAATGAGTGAAACGGCAGTCTCCTGTGGTGTTTAGATCACCTCGATTTGCCTGGCTGGCTGGCTGCTAGGCAAGCACTGCTGGTTGATATAAGTGTTATAGTATGAAAGTACTACTTATTTCAGTCAAACAATCAGTAGTATATGGCTTTATATAACTTAGATGTAATGTTTCAGCGATTGTTGAGAATTCTTTCATTTTTGATATAAGTATAAAACTTAGGCACTGTGGTAGAATAAAACCCCATTATGAATAAGATTTTATTTTTGATAAATCACACAGTGTGGTGTTATACAGTACTATTAACTGATGACCACTTTTCGAGCACAAACTACTACCATTCACAATCATATCAAGTCACTACTCACACAACTTTTTTCCTTCATTTATATACATGTGTGGAATTGCCTTCGTTGCCTTCTCGTCAGCTGCTTACAGGCCAAAGTTATTATTAAGTATATCTACAGAAACAATTTTAGCATACTTGCACAGAGTTCATTTTAAACAAAAATCAATCACTCAGTATGCCTACGATAATTATATACATATAATAATGTTAAACACTATTCCGAACAATAATAATCATACACAATGGAAACTTTTCAGCCTTACGCATTCAGATGAAAGAGAGATGAAAATATCCAGTTACCAGGGTAAAGAAAGACTGACAACTGCTTCTTTCTGAACGCATAAACCGGGTTTCAGGCGCTTGATGTAGATTGCTTCGGCAAACTTGAGGAGAATCGAACTCTTTTGCCTACTTACGATTTTGAACGGTCTTGCGACGTACATATCATGACCCGTGTCAAGCAAATGCCTGGTAATGGCACTGTTTAAAGCATTTGTTCTCTTGAGACACAGGCTTTTTGGTACATGTTCAGAAAATTGGAGGTATGTCCTTCTTCTTTCTGTTCTTTGAATGTAACTGCTCCCGTAGATACATGTAAATTTGTATATACAGTTGGAGTTAACAAGAGAAGGATATCTATCGATTTTTGATCGCCATTTTCGAAGAATTTTCACCTTAGCTATCTCTTTCAAAATTTGAAATTCGTCAGCATTAGGCGGCAACATTAACAACTTGTGTGTACCAGTACACTTATTATCACTATAGTTAATATTGCTGTTCCTTTGGTTCTGAGTGGACTATAGAGCTTCAGCAGCGCATTTCCAAATTTCTTCTATATTTTCTACAGTGT